ACAATCTCAAGCGGTTTTAGCATTATACTTTACTGCTTAATAGAAAGCTAGCTCTCATGTCATATTATGCTTTCATTTTTCCCCCTTTATTTCATTGATAAGGCCACCTCCTTGCAAAGCGCTCCAGACATTAGGGACAAAGAGGATTTAAAACAATAAAATAAGACTGGAAACAGGGGCTGCAATACCTTAAAATCCTATAACATTCCTTATTTATTTCTTCATTTATATCCAGCTTTTATTATTTTCACCAATAATTGAAGGTGACAGACACATACAATACACTTTCCTCTTATTTCGCCCTCAACAACAACCCAGTGAGGTAGGATGAGCTGAGAGAGAGTCACTCAGTTGGCTTGCGTCCCTAAGGCGGAACTAGAACTCACTGTCTCCTGGTGATGGGCCCAAAGTCACCCAGCCGGCTTTCATGTCTAAGGTGGAACTAGAACTCTTGCCTGTTGCTTTCACCACTAGACCAAAGATTTAACATATTTGAAACTATATGATCTATGTATGTATACTGTATGTATCTAGCAATCAAAAGCGGCAGAATTTTTGGCTTAGCCCCCCCCCCAGATATATTTTGCCCCCCTCCCTAATTCTTCCTAAAAGAGTTTCTGGAGATCCATAAAAGTAAGAAACACCATTCTCCGTCCAGCCTTATTCAGGGATAGACTGCTCTAAACCCTGGAAGCTTTGAAGTTATAGAGAGGCAGCAAATTCCACAGGTTAACTATTTTTTTGTGAAAAGGGGGGGGGAAAACCCCTCTCTTATCTTTCTTGAACCTTTTGAGGGTCAGTTATGGTGCCTGGCTAAAAGTCTTATCTTATGGGGGGGGACCTAAATAGATTAGTTAAATGACCCATGCATCCATGGGAAGGAGGGTAGATAATCTCACGGACACCCTAACATCTTTGTTCAAATGCAGGAATCACAGGACATGTATTGCTCCCACGCATGATATCAGTGTGGCTTGTGCTGTATGTGGTTTGCAGGAGAGACACAGGTAATTAGATGAAGAGACAGACAGAAGGGCAGAGCCAGCCTCAACCTCTCTCATCTGCCACAGTTTTACAAGGCTTACTTAGGGCCTCCTTGTTCCTCTCCATTGTTCTCTAAACTAAAAAAACAAAAAAGCAAAAAACCAGGTAGCTCTCAACTTACAAGTGTTTGTTTAGTGACCATTCAAAGTTACAACAGCACAACGTGACTTACGACCGTTTTTCACACTTACAACCGCTGCAGCATCCCAGGGTCACGTGATCAAAAACCAGACGCTGGGAAACTGGTTCATATTTACGACGGTTGTGCAGGGTCCCCGGGTCAAGTAATCCCCTTTGGTGACGTTCCGACAAGCAAAGTCAATAATCCAGGTTCATTTAACAACCGTGTGAATCGCCTAACATCTGCAGTGATTTACTTAACAACTTTGCCAAGCGAGGCCGCGAAATGAGGCGAATGTCACTTAACCAATGTCTTGCTTAGCGACAGAAATTTTGGGCTCAATCGAGGAGTATCTGTACGACCAATTTTCTTCATTGCTTTTCAAGCAGCATCCAGTTCTCAGATTGGAGTCGGCAGCCTTTTTCTACACCTTTCCAATACCCTAAAAAAAAAAAAAAAGTCTCCTCTTTGGGAAATGAAATATTCCTCTTTCTTAACCAAATATTGCCTTATCTTTAAGGCCAGCCTAAGCTCAGAGGCATACTAAAACCAGAAGCAGATTTATTATCATAATGAATGTGGGAATCCGGCAACCAGATGACACCCACAATTACATTAGATTACCCCTAACATTAACTGGCAGCCTATATATTTAAAAAGTAAATATTTAAAGTTTCCTGCCTCTAATCTTATATATTACGTATCTTAAATCTCGCCAAGTTTGCGATCAGAACAATGGATTGACACCTGAAAGCAAGCGGGGATGGTAATTCTTGGGGACGGTCTCAGAGCGAACGCAAAGGCTTCCGTCTGATGAAGGGACAGGCGAGAGACCTTGGCTGTTTGGAACCAGGGGGCACATCTGGAAATCACAAATAGCCGTAGGTACCGGAGGCAAGCTGCAAAGCTCTCCTCTGCATCCCAAGCTCATTGTGCACACATTAGAATATGTTCTGCAGAAATGTTCTCTCCTATTTCGTGTGCCCTTTTTAGGCAGGTTTGCCATCCTGAGTTACTTGTAAAATATAATAAAGGGACTTTATTAATAACAAAGAACAAAGAGTGCCGACGATGTTATGTAGTTTGGCCCATGAAACCTCTGCAAGAAAACCCCCAAGCTCCGAGAGCACCAAGGAGCCCTCACGTCAACCATGAGCTACAAATATTCTCCTTTATGGATAATCCCTTTGAGAGCTGTATGCAACGGAATTTCATTTTAATGTAGGTCGATTAGTGTACATTTAAAGTGATAATAAAGTTATTCTAAGATAGGAACAAACAAACAAAATGCCCCTTCCTGTTGCCCTTAGTGGCCATTCCAACATTAGAATTCTACGCAGAGTGTCCTCAGCTTATGTCAAAATTGCACACCTTACAAAGACAAGACAGCATCATAAACCACAACCGACTCAAATCGTTTCAGCCTGATCGAGTGTGTTGTGTGAACACAACAGCCACCGTGAGTATCTGCCTGGTCTCCTTTTCTCAACTCAAATCTTCTCAACTTGAATCTCCTCCAGCTGATTTCATGCAGTCTCCACGTTTCCCCCTTCTACACAGCAACAATGGGGAGGGGGTCTTTGTTTCCTTCCTTCTTTTTTTGGGGGGGGGAGTTCAAAATAAAAGCACTAGTACCCTTCTTTTAATTTGTCAGAATATTTGTAGAAAATACAAATAGGTTTCCTTAAAAAAAAAATCACAACTCAGTGAAGGATTCCCTAGGAGCATCTGTAGGAAGAGAGAAGTTGACTAATGATTGAAAGTATCTTTTGGGGGGGGGGGGGTAAGGAGGGCCACAAAACCAGAAAGACATCCCTCGTTCCTAATATTTAGCCTCAGAAGTTTCCAAAGTTTAGCAGAAATAATTCCAGGAAGAACAGAAGGAAAGAGCACTAGGAAGGCCATACTGAACCGCTCCAGAAAAAGCAGAAAATAAAGCTAGCAAACAAATAAGATAAATAAAAAATAAGGGAAAAACTGTAAGAACTCTAAAGGGGAAAGACTTCCAAAATTAAGAGGAAAGGAACAGAGCTCATCTCTGCAACAATATCTTGTTCAAAGTCCTACATGGTTTTTTTTTCCCCACTGATTCTTAAAGTGTGTATAACAACCTGGCCTCTCCCATGCTTGTGAGCGTTTTAAAAGAATCCGTTGAATTCATTTTGAGTTTTAATCAAAATCTGACTTTAGAATGTGGTCTCTTTGACCCTGGTATCAGCTTTCTTGGGTAGCAAAGAGTAAAAGTTTAGTCTCGTAGCGCAGAGAATATCTCCTTTTCATTAGGAAAACTGTTTATTAGTCTACGGTTTGCTGTCTGATTTATCGATTTAAGCTTCTTCTGAATGATCGACCGCATCGCACAACACACCAGTGTTTCTGTCATGGGTTTCCCTCTGAAGTGTTTACAATATTTTTGATTTACACCTTCCAGGTGTTCATTTGGAAAATATCACCCGCATTTCGTTTGCACATACATTTTTTTTACAATATATTTGTGAATGCCATTAAACTTGCACGTTCGTAGAACTTTGACATTCCAAAGCCTGCTGGTCAAGTAGAGAAGAAATGGATGGGTGGGAAGTGTCATCCCTTGACTTTTAAAAACGCAAGCTAATTGATTGGTTGTATTAGTTAAATCCTTAAACTGCATATTTTAGATTACAAGAAGTTGCACAGAGCTTCCAAGAAACAGGGCGAGCTTTGGGGGAAAGATCTGTAGCTGATAACTTAAAGATTTTTAAAAGAAAGAAGCATTTGTCAGCTTGAGGCATTATTTTACTGTCTTTTTACAATCAGGTTTTTTTTTAAAAAAAAGCCCACCATCACTCTCCAGTTTAGTTCCTCTACAAATCTGGGTATATTCCTTTTTAAAAAAATAATAAAATAAATGACACAAAATTTTGTCACATTGATACTGGCCAAATTTGTTATTATTGGCTAGCTATTATTTTGTTGTTTGGTGGTTTGTTTTTATCACTACTAGACAAATTTGTTAGGATAAGATGAAAGATTGGAGAAGAAAAAAAAAACCAAGGCTAGAGATGGTGTCTATCCCCTGAAAAGTTCAAAGAAATCAACAATATTTTGTAAATGTAAACACTATATAAATTTATAAATAAAAATTATGTTCTTGAACTGCACTTGAAACAAGCTACAAACTGCTAATTTTGGACACAAACCAGGAAACGAAGGGAAAGGAATGAGAAAGGAAAGGAAAGGAATGAGAAAGGAAAGGAAAGGAAAGGAAAGGGAAGGGAAAAAGAAAGGAAAGGAAAGGAAAGGAAAGGAAAGGAAAGGAAAGGAAAGGAAAGGAATTTATTTAAGATCAGCAAGTTAGTCATAAAGGTTTTCCTAATTTTTTTTTCCTTTTTAATCTGAATCCTGAGTTTATTGCTTGGCTAACTCCAATCAGTCCCAAAAGGAAATGGGGGGTTATCCAATATTTTGGATCAGAGACTCTTATTGAGTGAACATGTAATTTGAACGGAAAAGCTATTAATATCATGGAAGGGGCAGGAAAGGGGGGAAAACCTTGCCAGTTGCCAATGCCTGTTAAATGGGTAGATTAGCTGTCTTACATTTTTTTTCCTTTTTCTTTTTTTTTAACATATAAACATCTGAAAGCCGTTTCCTGTTTGGAGGTGGCGGGGGGGGGGGGAACTAGGTGGATGACCTCAGGGAAACTTTTTACAAAAAGCAACAAATGTGAATTGAATGTTGTGGGTTGGAGAGACAGAAGCACGCTTGGTGGTCTTGTTACATTATATAGATGGGAGAGAGAAAGAGAGAATGAGCCGGTCCAGGAATGGGTGGAAATACAAAAATAAACGTTTACCTTCTAACATTCCAAAAAGGCATTGCCAATTTTTCTTCGGCTCTGGAAACCGTTAGCGGCTGTCACTGCAGACACAACCTGGGCTTGAAGTAGCCACTTTGACCGAGTCCGAAATGAAGGCTCCTGAATCCAACGTCTCCCTTTCCTGTCTTCAGCCTGCGAGTTGACCTCAGCGCCATGGCATCCGAACACCAAAGCCAGCCCAGGACGACTGGATCTCCACGGCCACACCGTGCAACCTTGCACCGAGGGGGAATTGCTAGCAAATGTTCCCATTTATAGAAGGAAAGTCAACAGCCAGCCTGAGTGCGCCAGAGGGAGTTAATAATAATAAGCCCAAACAACAGCTGTGACACATTGTTGATTATAGCTTTTCACAATCAGGCCCATATTTTGGCACGGGACCTTCACAAGAATGGTTTGAATCATTGCGACTGGACACAGTTGTTACCCAGTTGAGAAAAAGCAAATGCCAACCCTCTGGTTCGGAGAGGTGACCGAGATAAATGTTCCCTAAATGTTGGGTTTACAGCAGGCTGGGCTAGGAAGAATAGGAAAGAGCATCAGTGCTGTTTGATTACAGAGGTGAGTCCAGTAGGAAGATGATAATCTGGTGTCATCACTAACTCTACATTCTCTGCTGTCCAAAGCTATCACACGGAGCTCTTTGCCAGGATATTCCATTCATATATGTTATTATTTTGCAGCAGTAGGCCTTTTGACAGCACTGGTGGAGGGGAAAGAGCAGGACCTGAGACTGTGCTCATGTTCAGCTTTTAAGTTTCCTCATTTCATAACTGAGTGAACACTTTGAGAATATTTATTTATTGGATGAACACTGACCGGTTTATCAAATGTTTGCACTGTATTTCCACAGGTAGCAATGTCAAGATCAGGGTAGAAGGCAGACTCCCAGGATCTCACCCAACAATATAAACAAAGAGACCCATAAATGAAGCTGCTTCTTGCTTTGGGAATAGGTGAAGTAAGTATGTTTTCATGGGAAGAATCCTTAAGACCATAAAGTCGGGTGTCTGGACACCCACATGCACTGTTTTACATGCAACATTGCGTTTTGAGATCCACCTTTGAAGCCAACATATCCCCCTGATAAGCAACTGAATGTCTCACCTTGTTTTTCATCTCAGTTTTCTTTGAGGTTGTGCAAATTAGAAGTTTCTGTATGGAAACAGTAAGTGTGAGGACAGAAAGGGAAGCAATTCACCATATCTGACATGGGTTGTAAGACACTGCAGTTGTAGAAAGCACACTTGGCCTCCCCACTTCTCAGCTGCTGTTAATCAGCCACAATGTGGGGGCTGGGGTGGGATGGCAATTCTACATGAGCAGATCCTGGTACAAAACTACGATGTAACTTTATGCCATCCGACAGAGGAAAGATGGAAGGTTTGCTATTTGTATTTTGCAAGATTTTCCCTAGGATTTGTGTGGCATTCCCAAAGAGGGCAGGGCCAAAGGTTTAGGAAGTAGGTATCAAAAAATATAAAATTGTTAAACACTACACAAAATGCATGAAAATTATGTAGAGCAGCCTATTTGTTGTAAAAAAAATGTTTACAGATTTAGGCCGAATTGCTAAGAAAAATGTTTATGTCTGAGAAATGCATACAAAAAGACAGATTACACTTTAATTCTGCCTTTAAAAACTAGCCTAGGAATGGACAAATTAAGAACACAGGAATAAATAAACTGTAGGAACCTGAAGCTGCCAGATGGATGGATCATTTATCTGAGTTTCCTAAACTCAATTATGCCTGCATAGATTTAAGGATAGAATTGGTTGCAGTCAAAAATGTTGGCAGGATGCTTAACAGTCCAGTTATGGATTGTTAATGGTTCTCATGCTTTATCTTTCGGCATTTTGGAAGAGGCTACCTAGCTGGGGAGAAGAGTTAATTTTGTCCCTCAAAAACCTGCCTTCTTTTCTTCTCCTCCAGGGTCCGTTTGCGACACTAAGTAAATCCATTACTCTCTTCTGCATTCCTTAGCGAGAAGCCACGGATTACAGATACTTGCTGCTAATGGGCTGGCTTTAGTAAATGCCAGCTGCACTCTCAACTCTTGTCATTACTACGAGGTGGAGCAACGGGATGCAAAAAGAAAAAAAAAAACCAAGGGTAATTAATAAAATTAAGTGACTTGGTGTTTAGCATTTGTTTGCTTTGTAGTACGGGGGTCTCCCATCCTCTCAAAGTTTGAACCAACTTATCACAGGACGTTTGACATGACAGGTTAATGCGAACACCCCTAAAGCTGGATTTTTTGCTAGTAGTCATCTGTGCTCCTTACATCGGCCTGCTTTGTCCAAGAAATCTGAGCTCTGGGAGAATAAAAAGCCTTTTTTCTCTCTCTCCAAAGGCCCCCCACTGTAACTCAAGAAAGAGCCAGCAGTTCTCCCTTCCAAAGTTCATCTGGACGTGAGTTGTAGAAAAGCTTGGAGTGATATCAAGAGATGAAGACAAATCTGGGAAGCTTTTTGCAAACCGTAAGCACTAAAGCTCCTTTTTATGTTTGGCATCTGTTGCTCCATTCTAAACAAACAAATAAAAACCTCCGCCAAAATGACTCAGATTCTGTGGCAAGGAAACCTGGATTGTGCAACCTGCCTAAAAGATGCAAAAGGCCCCACATTATGCATGATGACTCTCTGAAGTGGCAAATGTTGAACTTGTAGTTTGGTCTTTGCCGTTTCTGTTCTGGATTTGCACCTTGCTAATCATGGAAAGGAGCAGGACACAGCAGCCAACGCCTCTCTTGTTGGATTTTGATGTGGGCACACTAAGCACATTTTATATAGCAGGGCAACTTGGCAACTTTAAGACGTGTAGACCTCAACTCCCAGAATTCCCCAGCCAGCCATGCTCTCGTGCTTGAGCAGGGGATTCGACTAGAAGACCTCCACGGTCCCTTCCAACTCTGTTATTCTGTGATCCCGGGAATTGAAGTCCATGAAGTCCATTGAAGTCTTAAAAGTTCTCAAGTTTGGAGACCCCTGTTGTATAACATCACTCTTTTTGCAAAACTACGTCTCTGCGGTTCCATTAGGGCAGTGGTTCTCAACCTTTTTAATGCTGCGACCCCAACCGGTCATAAGTCGAGGACTACTCAACCAGTCGTAAGTCGAGGACTACTCAACTGGTGCAGCACCGTTTGCAGAATGGGACTTTTGGCGGGTTCAGCAGGGCAGAGACAGCCTGGACAATTCCTATTGGCTTTTGAAAGCCAATAGAATTAGACTCTATTCAAGAGAGTCTATTCTCTTGGCTTTCAAAAGCCAATAGAATAAAAGGGAGTAGCACAGCTAAGGAAAAGGGGGGAAAATGGTGGACTGCGTTGTTTGGCGACCCCCGTGAAATGGTCGTTCGACCCCAAATGGGGTCCCGACCCACAGGTTGAGAAGCACTGCATTAGGGGCTGTGTATTTCTTCGGTTCATTTTTGAGAAAGTCAACAGATCTTTCAGTCGGTGTCATTCCTTGTTGATGGAATCAGTTACTGACAAATTTTTGCAAATGTTATTTTGCTCCAGGGCCAGTGCCTTGGTTTAAGTAAGTTTAAAATACGAAGGTGTATAAAGTTTGAGTATTTTCTTAGGGAGGTCGGGCAAATGGGTTTTCGCCAGGCCCTTTTTTTTTTTGTACAATTATGTTTATTGTTGCTATTTATCTTTTAGCAGTTGAAAGTGATGGACCAGGGAAGCTCCCAACCGTTCACCCCAGCACCAGCCTTAAAAGTGGGTTTTGACTAAGTGAGAATGACTTACTCAAAAGTGCAGGAAGTAAAGTAACAGAGTTGGAAGGGATCTTGGAGGTCTTCTAGTCCAACCCTCTGCTCTTGCAAGAGACCTATGCTATTTCTGATAAATGTCTCTTCTTAAAAGCCTCCAGTGAGGGGGCACCCACAACTTCTAAAGGCAAGCCGTTCCATTGGTTAATTGTTCTCACTGTTAGGAATTTTCTCCTTAGTTCTAGGTTGTTTCTCTCCTTGGTTAGTTTCCATTCATTGTTTCTTGTCCTGCCTACATTAACTCCATGGCTAATGGAGAGATTTGATTCTGGACTTGATAGTCCCAGCTCATCATTTTAACCACTATGCCACAGAAGCTGTGGAGCATATTAGGAAGTTAGAAGCAGTTTTGGGGTGCAGAATGATAAAGGAAAAAAAGTAGAACAATCGCTGTTCCAGGTTCCACAAGTAAAATAATATGCAAAGTTGCCCAAACAGATTTTCGGATTCAGATTCTGAAATTAGCCAGTTGCATGGAAGGACAGTTAATAGATTTTCCCTTCCTGCATTTGCAGAGTTTTAGCTCCTTTCTATGTGCCAGCAACTTCTCCTAATTTATTGAAACCAGTGGTCCTTGTTGAGATCTTAGAAGTAATAAAACATAAGCTTCAGTTAAAAGAAAATTAAAAGCAGGAGTTTCTTTTCTTTTCTTTTACTTTAAGAAAAGGACGTTCCCTGCATTTGTTAGCCTGCCATATGAAAATTCATAGGTTCTTTTTCTTCTCCTTGAACTAGAAGAAAAACAAAGCAAGCGATGGATGACCTGTAGCCCCATATCTTTACTCAGAAAACTGTAGCAGAAAATCTGAGATCCAAAATCTCACCAGAATTGGAACAAATTGTTCTTGATTGTGAGACATTTCACAAAGTCACAATGACCTAGCACTGACAAGAGAATGCTATTTCATCTAGAACCGTGTCTGATTCCCAGCCTGCAATTGGAGACAATCTTCCCAAAAGTCATCGCAAAACCAGCAAGGATTCTGGCACACAGCTGTCCAGGTGTGAGTGAAGTAACAGAAAAACAGGGCTCCGATTTCTTGGGTTGGTATAGGGAAACCACATAAGGAGATAGTCAACCCCAGGTATTTCCCCTAAGTAATTTACACCATGACATCCCACTGACAATCACAAAAAATGAACATGGGAGCAACTTTGGCAAATAATACGTTTTCCAGTAGAGCAACCAACTGTTTGCTGACTTTCTTAAATTCCATCCCATCATCTTAAACCCAACATCCCTTTCTGAATGTCCACCCAAAGTCAGAAGCAAGAGAACAGCTCTACTTTGAGATTCTACAATCACAAAAAAAAAGAACATGGGATCAAATTTGGCAAACAATAAGTTTTTCAGTAGAACAGCCAACTGTTTGATGTTCTTCTTAAATTCCATCCCATCATCTTAAACCCAACATCTCTTCTTGAATGTCCACCCAAGGTCAGAAACAAGAGAACAGCTCTACTTTGGTGGCCCTTTTCATAAACTCCAGCGGCAACGTCAATGTTGTTCTTTTTGATCCTGAAATCCCAGGACAGACCTTGAGCTGAAATGGATCAAACTCCCATCTCCACATGCCAGTGTTGTCATCCACATTTTCCTGCACAACATGCTTATCTTCTAAGAAATAAAGTGCTACTAATTTTAACCGACCAAAAAAAATGGACATCTGCTTGCC